ACACACACACACACACACACACACACACACACACACATACACACACACACACATACGTATACATGTACTCTCTTAGTCTGTTCAGGCTGCTGTACCAGAATACCATTGACTGGGTGTCTTATAACCAACAGAAATGTATTTCTCACAGTTCTGGAAGCTGGGTTGTAAAAGATCAAGGCACCAGCAGATTCCTTGTCTAGCCAGGGCCTGATCCCTCCTTCATGAACACCTATCTTTTCACTTTGTCCTCACTTGGTGAAAGGGGTGAGGAAGCTCTCTGGGGTCTCTTTACAAGGACAGTAATCCTGTTTATGAGAGCTCTGTCTTCATCACCTAATCACCTACCAAAAACCTCACCTTGGGGGTTAGGAATTCAACAAATGAATTTGTGGAGGACACAAATATTCAACCTGTTTATATATATATATATATATATATATATACACACACACACACATATACACATATATATATACATACACATATATATGCGTATATACACACACATATATACATATGTATATACACATATATGTGTATCAGGTTGAATATTTGTGTCCTCCAAAATAAATATTATGTATATGTAGAAATATATGTAATGTATAGAAATATTTATATAATATATAATAAATATACGTATTCTATTTAAAACGGAACTTCCAGGTCCTGGTCCCCTAGCTCTGATGTACAATCAGTACAGTATGGTTAAGTGGATATACTCAGTATGGGTAAGTGGTTAAGTGGATGATCAGTACAGTATGGTTAATTGGATATACTCTGAAACCATATTCCCTGCTCAGTCTTGCTCCACAACAACTTTCTGCCTGTGTAACCCTTATCTATGTTTTATAATTTACCTGTGCCTCTGTTTCTTCAAAACAGCAGTAGTAATAGCTTCTAATTCAGAGGACAATTGGGAGGAATAAACAAGATAATATATGCAAAGCTCTGAGAACAATGCCTAGTAATAGCAGGTGCATTATGTCATTATATTATTATTATCGATTTTATGAATGAGACTGATTCATATTATACTTCAATCAATTTTTTTTAGTAAGACAAGTCTTTGCATCCAGTTTCTAAAGCTGACAGATTTGCAATGCCTATAAGTCAATGTAATAGGCAATGACTATCGACAATCTTTGTAGTAATAGCTAAAAACAGCCACCATTTGATTATGCATCTTTTTGTGCCAGGCACCTGTTAGGCATTTAAGGCAACCAATGCAGCTATTCCTATTTTATACATGAAGTAAATGAACCTTAGATGAACTGCCTTAACTTAGGCTCTATAGCTAGTAAATGAGAAGAGACTTGTAATCCTGTATTAAACTACATACATTTCTAATAAGCCTCATTGAAATAATTTTTAAACCTATACACATGTAGAATTTTAGGTTGTTTGTTCCTCCCATTCTCATATCCTCAGATCCTAGCCAGGCACTGTCAAAACCAACCCTTTACTGAATTAAGGATAGCAATTTATACCTCTGTTCCTGTCACCTGGGTGGAGCCAAAAGTAGTGGCTTTTGGAGGAGAGTGTGGGACCATTGAGGAAGAGGGAAAAAAAAGTGAATCTAAATTAATGCATATGTCAAAAGTTTTGTAAATCTGCAAGTATCATCCTTTGAAGGAAGAACCTAATCTAACAAATGCTTCCTTGCCAGAGTTGAAAATAATTTGTTCTAATATGTAGATAATGAGTTTGCATAGTTGTAAAATAATCTTAAGTCTTATATCAAATGTTCCTTTGAATTTACATACAAAGTGGCAGAAAGATTTCATTTGGAAAACCAGTAAAATGGTGAAATAACGTATGGAATGGCCACTTAATAGACTGACAAAAATGAAGCAGCTCGGTATTATTGTAATGAAAGATACACTAATTGAAAACAAAACAAGTTGAAGCTAAAAGAGTTTGAATAATTTGATTTGTGTGTGTGTGTGTGTGTGTATGTATATTTACATATGTATTGAACACCACCTCTCTCTAGAAGGAATGTTAAGTGGGACATTAACAGGCTCTAGCTGACTCCATTAAAATGTTAAGACCTGATTTTTTACTAAATCATTACTATAATGGTGCAGATAAGTGAAGAGCAAGCTCGTAAACAAAATGAATAATTCAGTCCAGCAAATTATTCAGTGAGCACTAAAGAACACAGGCTCTGTTCTAGATGCCTGAGATACATTGAACAAATCCCTGATCCCTTGGAGCTCACCTAGTGCACCGCCATGATCAATCATTGTAGATGAGTGTGAAGTAAAATTACATGTGTCTACTTCTGAGAATTCAGAGATGATGATAAGCCTGGAATTTAATAATTATTCATTACTTCCACCTTTATAAGTCACATTTTTGGAATGAGGAAAAAGATTTAATCAACATGAACTCTGGTGACACCCTTGACTTCTGTTGCCAGCTGTGTTCTGATCCCTGGGTCTTGTCTCTTTTGAAGTTGGAGGCAGTGTCTGTTGGGAATCTTTAGCTGGAGCGTGGCCAGCTGTTTTTCCTTTGTCTGGAGATATATCCAGGAGGACTGGGAAGGGAGCAACTTTCTTCTTTCCTACAAAGTACATGCATTGGCAGAAAGCAGAGAGAATCATACAGAAAATATACAACATGAAAATTTATTGTAATAAATAATTACTGGCATCTGGAGTATTCTGCTTTAAACTAAATGAGTCATCCCTTTTTCTTACCCCTAAAGGTATCCAAATGTTGTGAAGAAGTAAGAGATTACATTGAAGAACGATCTGGCGAGGATCCACTGGTAAAGGGGGTCCCAGAGGAAAAAAATCCCTTCAAGGAGCTCAAAGGAGGTTGCGTGATTTCATAATACAAAAAAAAAAAAAAAAAAAAAATCCTTGGGAATATCTCAAATGTTAATGACAATTATGGATTTTTCTCATATGTGATACTATTACTAAGCACGTATATGATTTTTAAATTTATAGATGCAAGCTTTTAATAAAAATTGGAATGAGGTAACCCATCAGTCTATGCTTTTCTTAACATATCTGGCACAGGGTTTAATATATAATTGACAATAAATATTGCTTAACTTTCTTTAAAAAGAATTACTATGTTTTATGAATGAGTCTGTATTATTCTAAGTTGTCAGCATGTATTTACTGTTTTATGTTTTTTCACTTCCCTTTCAACATTTATAGCTTTCTACCCAGAAATTTTATGGTTAGACTTCTATTTTTCTTCCCAACCTTTCTCTTGCTTACGAATTAGGAAGCTTATTCCTCTGATACACAGGTCACCTATCTTATGACTTTTCCTCAGAATGCCAACTGGCTTAAGGGTTCAGCCTATGGTCACAGAGCACAGTGAATTTAACCACACCAGAATCATGGTTATGAGCGTGCATTTAGGAGCCAGACAGTTCTGGCTCTGCCACTTTACTGCCTAACTGACTTTGGATAAGCTACTTAATTCTTTCTAAATTTGTTTCTTCTAGCATAGGATGAAGAAAATAATGGTTGTATCTTCTGTTTTGTATGGGGGTTAAATAGTACACTAAAGCAACTATAACAGCTAATTACCTGGCCCATAGTAAGATACAATAGGTGTTAACTAGTATTATTACTGAGAAAGGATCTAGACAAAATTTCCAAAATCCTTTAAGATACATGCTATTTTGCCCTATCCTCATGAAGAGTCTCAACAACACAGTCTTTTCTATAACAAGGTGAGCACACATGATAGAGAAATCGCCATCACCTACATCAGGTCCTTCTGGCATCCAGAAGTTTGCGTGAGTCACATTTCACTACCTGTGTGTTAATGACTAAGAGATAACTTGCCTGTAACAAATGACAAGTTGTAGTCACCCAAATCAGAACCACTTTTGTTGTCAGTGTTTTCTTGTTGCTGTCTCACAGTGTTATTTTATATACTTCAATGATCAGAATACTCACAAATACTAATTGTCATCCTCTATAAAAACATTTTTTAGAGGATTTTTGAAATCCTCTAAAAAAAAACATTAAGATCATCTATTACTTGGTCTGGAAGGGAGTCTGAAAGTTGTACCAACTTTGGCTCCTAGCACAGTGCCCTCCAACTCTGACCATCATAAATGCTCAACAAATATTTGTTGACTCTTGTCTAACCCCTTCATTTTGAAATGGAGAAAATAAAGTTTCAGAGAAGTGACCTGACACATTTCTCCAGTCAAGACTCTGGGCTTCTGGCTGAACAGTTAGCAACATACCCCACCATGTGTCTTCATCAAATCTGCTTTGAGTATTAAGGGATTCCTGGATTAGTTACTGAATCTCTTATCTATTTTTCCTCAGGAAAAGCTTTTTTTCCTCCTATTTAAATTTACAAAGCCGTCTCCATACAGCTCCCCCAACCTCCACCAAGTGCATCCTGTCTCTCTCTCCCACTCTGTTTTCCTCCATAGTACTGTCACCATCTGGCATACTACAATTTATTTGTTTATTTAATAGTGGTCTGTCTCTAGAAGTTTTCCATCTGCAAGTTAGTATTTATTGAAGTGTTCCATATATCCCCTCTTCTCTAATTAAAATAAATACAAAGTAAGTATTTGCTATGGCATTCAGTAACATGTAGAATATGGTCGTAACCAACATCTCTAGCTTTCAGTTTACAACTTGAGACAGATTTTGAAGCCCAACAACGTTATGTTAAAACCTCGACTCTTCTTCCTTGCAGTTGAGAACTTTGGACAAATGACTTCAGCTCTTTGAACCTACTTTTTTCCTTTCAAAAGGAAAGTACAAAATTAGTGATTAGGATAGATTATCTGAAATCTTATAATCCCTCAGATCAGAAATGAGTACATTGAAAGTAGCCTAATACATATCTGCTATAATTATTATACTTCTTGTGGACAACATTTTCCCACAAGCTGGAATTTGGTCACACTGATCCCTCCACCTGAAATCTCCCTCCATTCCACCCCATTTCAGCCTTTTGAAATCCTGCTCTTCTTATAAGACTGTCTCTCCCATTCTACCTCAAGAGTATTTTGTGTATCTCTTAATTCATTTAACATTACTTTACTTTCTCTTATTGTAATTTCTATGGTTGTCTTAATTTCAGTGCTATATTGGAAATTTCCTAAGCCAGAAGCACTGTTCATCTTTGTAACTGTCATATCAACTATCAAATTGTCTGTACAACGTAAACAGTAGAGTACAATTCCTGTTGCTTAAAACACAGATCGTCAGCAGGTTTTGAATAAGAGAGAAATCAGAGGAAGGAAGTATAGAGAAAGATAGTCCAGGAAGGTGGAAATGAAGTCATGACTGTCCCACAGGCTACTGAGCTATAACTGTCAGTGTTTGTTCAGAAGTTGTTATTTCAAGGCCGGGGTAACGAGATTAAAGAGGATGAAGTAAGACTACAAGGCAACGAAAACCACTCCCAACACAACCTTAACATATGACTCTTTAACAAAATTTTCTGGTGTCATTAATGAGAATTAGCTATTATAGATTCTACAATATATCATTTGAGCTACTTGGACTTTAAAGGTACTTTGCACACACAGGTGGGTGTAAGCTTTAGTAAGAAAAAAAAAAAAAAAGAAAAGAAAACACCTTACTGTTATTTTAATTTTGACTGGTTTTATTTTAGCCAGATTTTAAAACCAAGCTAATGTCAAACTTCCTAAATTCCTAAATAAAGTGTTAACATAAGGAAAATAGTAAACTCAGTAATGAGAATGATCAATTATATATAATGGAAGTTAAAGTTGTGTAGAAACAAAATTGGTAAGAGAAATCATTTTTAAATTTATTTTTTTATTTTTTATTTTATTCGTTTGAGACAGAGCCTCGTTCTCTCGCCCAGGCTGGAGTGCAGTGGCGCAATCTCAACCCACTGCAACCTCTAGCTCCTGGGTTCAAGCAATTCTGTACCACCACACCCTACTAATTCTTTTGTATTTTTAGTAAAGAAGGGGTTTTGCCATGTCGGCCAGGCTGGTCTCCAACTCGTGACCTCAAATGATCCTCCCACCTTAGCCTCCCAAAGTGCTGGGATTACAGATGTGAGCCACCATGCCTGGCTGGAGAAATTATTTTGATATCATGAATTATAGGTAGTTGCTAAAATACTCAGAGCATCAGGCATAGATCATCCTTTGACTTGGCATTCTCTTCATCTAGAAAAGGAATCTTAGCGCCAGTGTAGTGGCTCATGCCTATAATCCCAGCATTTTGGGAGGCCTAGGTTGGAGGATTTCCTGAGGTCAGGAGTTCGAGATCAGCTTGGCCAACACCGTGAAACCCTGTCTCTACTTAAAAAAAAAAAAGAAAAATAGCTGGACATGGTGGCTCTCACTTGTAATCCCAGCTACTTGGGAGGCTGAGCCAGGAGAATCACTTGAACCCAGGAGGTGGGCAGAGGTGGCAGTGAGCTGAGATTGCACCATTGCACTCCATCCTGGGCAAAAAGAGCAAATCTCCATCTCAAAAAAAAAAAAAAATGTAGGTAGGTAGTTACAGGCAACAAATGAGCTCCTAAAAATTGCCTCGTGATTGTTTTAACAGATATCAAATATCAAATGAACCAAGAGCGTGTAAAATGTGTATTAAATACTTTCTTTAAAGAAACCATCATTTCAATGGCCTAACAGTCACCATGCACTTTTTAATTTTTGTTGTTGTTGTTGTTTGTTTTATACAGCGGGGGTCTCATTATGCTGTCTAGGCTGTTTTCAAACTCCTGAACCTTTGGTCTCACGTGATTCTCCTGCCTCGGCCTCTAAAAGTCACTCTATAAATTTTAGAAGAGCAGAATTTGAAAGGTAACCTAGTTTACTTATACCAAATAAAGAAGCAGAAAGAATGTGTTTCTTGCAAAAGTCACAAGATAAAATAAGGCCAGAATCCTGGTCTTTTTTTAGTTCAAGTTAGTATTAAATCAATTCCAGTTTAACTGCCTTCAATGTTTATTTTTATTTATATAGATTTTTAACAACATAATAAATTAGAAAAATTATCAAAAACTTGTTTTTCCTATTTTTGCATACCAAAGTAAAAATTTCATGGTTGTTATTCTTTTATAATTTAAAAGTGAAAATGGTTACTTTTATTTTTATCGACTAATTTCTACGAACCTGTGAAAAGATAGTGGGCTAATTCATAAAAGTTCATCTCTGGTTGCACCTGGCATTTTACTAAAGATTGGTTTCTACCCATACTACTTGTAAAATAACTTTTATTGCAATAATATGCAAAGTGTAAGTAAAAACAAAACATTTGGACATGGATAAACAACTTTTAAAATTTATTCAAAACTTTTGAATATTGCTGATAGACTATTTCTGCAAGTATACATGAGAAATTGCTTAACATGGTTCTTCTCTGGAAGGTAAATTCAGTGTTCAGGCAAGGAGACCATACATCCTTTTGTTTAAAAGAAAGTGTTCTCATTATTTTACTATTTAAAATCCAACAGCAACAACAAACCTTTTTCAGAATGCTGTGTGATCATGCAATGTCAATATTTCGCAATTCACTTTAATCAATTTACTTAAGACATTAGAATATAAATTATTTAATAACAATAAAAAAAGAAGACTAATAAGTATTTTGTCTCTAATATGTCTCATAATATGATGGGAAAAGTTAAAGAACCAGTATGGGCTTATAAATATTTATCCCTCTATGCAACTTGATGATTTCATGGGAAAGAAGTTTCCAAGCCAAAATAATTCTATTTTTATGACTTAGAATAAACACACATTAATTTATTTAACTTAGGTGCTGTACCTTTTAATTTAGGCCACATTCACATTGATTACTTTTACTAATTTATTTAAGGTATTTTTAACCAACCTTTTAAATTTAAGTAATAGAAAATTTTTAAAATGAATTTAGTGCAGAAGAGAGAGATGACATTTGTATCGTCTCACTGTTTACTCACACGTAAACTTCAGCAGATGATCTAATTACTTTGAGCCTGGGAAACCCTGTATTTCAAATATTGAAAGTGAAGCTCTTAAA